GCATCCGTCTGAAACTCATGAGCTCGGCAATCGATGAAGTCGATGTCTCAATATCGAGGGGAGCGAACTGTCGATGCAGTCCACGAAGTATGATGGCCAATCCAGTAACTTGTCTCATGCCGAGCCCATCTCCGAGATCTCTCATGCCACCGTCTCTGACAACGGCCGGGTCCAACGTGCTCACGAGTTCGCGAGCCACACCTCCAAGACGTAAGATGATCGCTGCTCCTTGCGCTTGATCTGGTAACTCACATGCCAAGGCCCACCACACCACATTCCGAGACCACTGCTTGAATGGATAGAATCTTTGCCACCTACTGTCCCAGGCTGGTGGAATCTTCAACGTGCCCATAATACTCGTCTGATCTGCCACATTACCAAAGCCAGCCTGGGAGTTGCCCTGAGGCATCTGCATCATGATGATGAACGTGCTGTGACGGGAGTCTCGGACGTGGTGGTCGCAGTCGTAGAAGTAGCCGTGGATCGCGCCGCCTGGCGGGCGGCGAGAGGAGCCGAAGCTCCGCTACCAAGGTCGATTGACCCTGGCAATGGTGAGATAGAAGAGAGAAAGATGGGATACCTTTGTCAGTACATGCAAAGGAAACAGTAAATCTGGACGCGTCCTTGAGTCAAACGTTTACGGCGGTCGGGGCCCTACACTACACACATAACATACAGAGAGAGAGATAGGCATACATGCTATCTGCTGCATTGCGACTGTTATATCGTTTCTTGGACAGTGAGGGTGAGTAGACCGACGCACCGATGCAGGAAGCCCCCGTCGCTGCCTGAGTGGATAATGTCATTCCCGACGATCATTCTGAACCTGTCCCAGTTCGTGTGCCAGTACAAGGCTCCGAGGATCCCGTTCCAGGTGCCGCCAGCTTGTGTGAGAAGGGCCTCTGTGCTGCACGCATGTGTGTTCCTGCTTCCTTTGCATCGTTTGGATCGTTCTGTTGGTTTCTAGCCGTTGTACTCTGCATGTGGTGCGCAGTGCAAGCAGCCATTTTCACACTTAATCTGCGTGTCTGGTTCACGCAGCTCTGTGAAAACTTCAGTGCCTCGCTAGGGGACATCATCCCATCCGTGCTTGGACGGTGGCTCGGCGAATAATTTCTCTGCCCTCTGTTCCCCTCCCTCCTCTCTTGTACGCAGCCCAGCTTAGAAGATGGAGTTTCCCCCACAGACACTGGCCAGGGGTGTGGCCTAGATGTGCTTGCAGGCTTGGCACTCGGACCAGGCGTGCTCAGTGTGTTTGGAGTTGCAGCTACGCGTATGGCACGTTGGTTCGTCGGGCCCCTCATTGCTGGTGGGCTCCCGGCTACCATGCATTGGCTCGGCTAATCGCCGCACGCGTGTCCTGGGAGACAGGGCGAGGCATTTTCACACTTAAGGATCTTCAGATTTTCTATCTGTTCTGATTTGTATGATTTTCCCGCCCAGCTTCTCCTGTATTGGGAGGCTGTGTGTGTGCTGTCTTTCACGCTTTAATATCTTGGTATTATTGTTGTTAGCGCCTGTGCGTGGGACAGGCCTGGGGCCCAGCAGACACCGACGTCACCACGTACATAGATCGCCGCCTGCCGCTTCTCTGCTTGCATGTGTGCACGCTTTTTGTTTGTACATCTGCCTCGTGCCTGCAGCCACATTTCACAGAGGATGGCCGAACGGCCACGGGAGTTTCGCGCTCGCAGGTGGTGCTCATGACCGAAACCCTGACCACTCCTTTGTAAAAACACACTTAACGTACAGAGCCTTTCGGCACTTCCGACGCCATGGATGGCTGGAGTTGAACAATTTATCTTTGGAATTTCAGAGGTTGCAGATTGACTGACCTATCACTCTTCACGGTGTGTGTGTGTGTGTGCGTGCGTGCGTGCGTGTGTGCGTGCGTGCGTGCGTGCGTGCGGTGCCGTGCCGTGCGTGCGTGCGTGCGTTCGTGTGCGTGTGTTCGTGCGTGCGCTCTTGCGGCGGAAGAGGGCGACCATCCCTGCCCCGGTCGAAGGTGCGGCAGCTGCAACGCGCATCGAAAGGTCGCTGGGCAAGCCAGGAAGGCGTCTTACAGAGACCTGCGATTGGCAAGCTCGTGCAAGATACCGTGGCCTCTGAGAAAGCGAGTGCGTCCGCCCGACCTTGAGCGTACCCAGATCTCCGATGGTATGATTTGTTCAACTCCTGGCGTTTTTCACTCGATCTCGGCCCCCGAGGCACGTCCTCGCGTACCAAGACCACCCAAACTGGGCCCGGGGCAAAAGACTGGCCCCAGTGAAGGGGTCGGGTGGCCGCGGAAGGGACAAAAACACAACGGCGGCAGAGATCTGAGACTTCAGGGGACTCCGCTTCGACGAAAGACAAAGAACACCGCATCGGATCTCTGGGCCCTCCTCCCCTCCTCCGCCCTCTCCCTCCTGCCCCCCTCGAGGCAAGAAAGGACAAGCGCCACCACCAACAGCGCGTGGAGCCCGGGGGGCGCTCATGGTGCGGTCCCCGCTCCCCGCTCGAGACATCCCCTGTACCCAACTCGGAGAGGCATCGTGGCACACCCCTGGTGGTCGTGGCGTCGCGTTCCGCTCGTCCGTGCCACCCTGCCACACAGGACGCGGGCAAGACCCGTCAACTCGGGACATCGGACCAGATCGGAATTTGCTTCAAACCAGGCTGAATCGGCACGGCGTAGGAGCCGAGTCGGAGCGGCCGTGCCAGAGCGCACAACAACGTCATTCGTACCAGCATCGGGCCGCGGTCGGATGGTTGGGGCCCCAAGACCGTGTGGTGACGGACCGCCTGGTGACCTTGGAATCCCCAACGACCTCACCGCGCGGTCCGTCACCACTGCGGGGACCGCAAGCGACCACAACCACATCGAGGGTACACCCTGGGGATGCTTTGCGCATGCCGAAATCGTGTGAACACCAACACCAGCTTCGTACTGGTTGTGGTCGATGTAGCGTCCCAGGAAGGCGAAATCGACCACAACCAAAACCAAAGTGCTCATGTTGAGGTCAGTGGGTTCTCCCCTGAGGGACCCTCCTGAAAAATCCCCTTATTTGTAGTTGTGGTTCGTTGTCTGGCCCAGAACCACACGGCTTTGGGACTTCGAAGGCCCCAAAGTCGCCCGAGGCGTCCTCGGGGAACGACGCGAGTCCCAAAACTGCGCGGTGGCCTTGAATCTCCACTGCCTCACAACACGGTGTGGCCACTACACCGTTTGGGCCCCTCAAACTTCTGCTGTCAGCGGCGACGTCAAGGTCGGGCGTTGGCAGAACTGGGTTTAGTGGAACCTGGTTTAGTGATGTGCACTGGGGGACGCCCCCCCCGCCCCGTTCCACTAACCGAAACTGCTGTCACCCGAAAAAACACCAGCATCGGCAAACCTGGTTTAGTGATTCTGGCCAATTCAAGGATGCCGGGGCCCTACCATGGCTATACCCGACAAGGCAACACCTGGGCCCCGGACGAGCTGACTGCACATCAGCATAAACAGCGGGTTCCGGAAACTCTTCACCCAAAGAGGTTGCCACCTCTTGGGGCGCCATCTTCTATTTCCTCCACCTCCGCCGGCTTTCCGCTGGCTTCAGCAGGCGGAGCCACCCCCGTTGTACTTTCGCCGCCTTCCGAAAGCGACTGAAGTAAATGGCGCGTCCCTTTTCTGGGATGCCCACAATGGAAAACCGAAGAGCGGCCGCAGAGGAAATGGCGCAGGGATGAGAAGCGCGCCTCGGAGCACGAAGCAGGGACCCAGGAGGCGGCACACACCCAGGCATTTTCCAAGAAACCCACGTGCAATCCAGAGCCCCTGAGAATCTTGGAGGCGGACAAGGGGTCTGAACTGGATGGGCCCCGAGAGAATGCCGGACCCACTCTGGGTCCATCTGTGGTGCAATTTTTGACCCCGGACCCGTGTTTGACAATCCCGGGGCCCGAGAATGGCCACCAGAGGCTGAAGAAAACAACAACCTCCTCGAGCCCAAAGCCTGGAATCCCTTCCCCCCTTCCTGCTGGCCGGAACCAATGTTGGGCCACTCAAGACCCCGAGCCAACTTCAACCTCGGCCCATTCCCCGGATTGTCTGTGCATCCCGAATCGTTTTTCGACAGTCCCGAGGCCCGGTAAGGGCCCCGAGATGCAGAACATAGCGAGAAACCCTCGTCGTGGTTCTTTCTTGACACTAGGGGTCTGGGGACCCACCAAATCGTCGAAATATCGGCGTCGAATCGGGCCGGCCGGAACCGACATCGATTAGGGTCGATGGGATCGAGGTGGGCCCTGCGCAGATCGTCAGCGCATCGGCATCGATGCCAGATCGAACCGATACCGAATCGGAGCGACATCGATGTCGAATCGGAATAGAATTGGCATCAAATCGGACCGATGTCGATGTCGAATCGGAATCGAATCGACATCGAATCGACGTCGACGTCGAGCATCGGAACCGATGGCGACTCGGAGCGGACGGGATCGCGGTGGGCCCTGCGCGGGGGGTGGGGGGGTCGGGCGGGCCGCGCGGGCGTCTCCCCCGCCCGACTGGGGGGGCGGGGAGGCGCCACAAAAGTCCAGGAAGGCGGAGAGTGCGGGGGTCTGGGACAGGTGCTCTTCCTCCTCTTCCTGCTTCTCCTCCTCCTCCTCCTCGTCCTCCTCCTCCTCCTCCTCCTCCTCCTCCTCCTCCTCCTCCTCCTCCTCCTCCTCCTCCTCCTCCTCCTCCTCCTCTCCTCCTCCTCCTCCTCCTCCTCCTCCTCCTCTCCTCCACTCCGTCCTCCTCCTCCTCATCCTCCTCCTCCTCCTCCTCCTCCTCCTCCCCTGCCTCCCTTCTCCTCCTCCGTCCTTCTCCTCCTCACCAATCTCCTGTCCTCCTCCTCCTCCTCCTCAGTCCTCCTCTTCCTCCTCCTCCACCTCCTCTTCCTCCTCCCCCCACAACCCACAATGTCCTGTCCTGTCCTCCTCCTCCTCCTCCTCCTCCTCCTCCTCCTCCTCCTCCTCCTCCTCGGGGGAGGGGGGGGCGCCCCGGAAGTCCAGGAAGGCGGCGAGCGCGGGGGCCAGGTGCTGCTGCCCGCGCGCCTCGAGGGGGGAACATTTTGGCACATGTTTGTTCTGAGGCGAGCCGGTGTGGAAGTGTCAGGGGGCGGGCCTCCTCAGAAGGCTCGGAAGCCACCCGGCCTTCTGAGAAGTTCTCCGAACCCTCCCCGAGGGCACATCAAACTTCTTACAGGGCCTGGCAAGAGGGCTTCTAGGAAGCCCCGCCGCCTTCTCGGAAAGCATTCTCCATCTCGCTTCCCCAGGCGCGCCGCCGAATTTTGGCGGGCAGGTCGTGCGGGAGAGGGGGCTGGAAGGAACAGGCGCGGCACGGATCCCCGCGCCCCCGATCCGAGGGCCCGTACATTCCCGCCACACGGCGGGAAGGGCGAGGGCCCTCCAGGGACGGGGAGGCGAGCCGATCGGGGCTGGAATGCCTCGACATATACAGAAATACACACTAGGGTACCTCCGTATTCGCGCCTTCGCGGTCTGGACTCCAAGGCGCGATCCCGCGGATACGCGGTCCCACGGATACGCTCGGTGCGGGGCATCCGCGAACAAAAACGTTCCGTATCCGCAAGGTCGCGGCCCAGGGGCCCCGCCCGCGATTCAGAGCAAATTTAGAGAGGGGTCACTCAGAACACATCATTTCGCTGGCCCAGCGGCCGACATCACAGCGAGCCAAGGACCTCGGCCCACGGAGGGCGGACAATTCGGGTTGACCCCTGAACTTCATACGTACACCGTACACAGTACGGATTGGACCCCTTGGAGCAGGGGCGGGATACTTTTTAGACGGTCCACCCGCATTCCCACCCACAATATGCAGCCAGCGTTGGAAAGATAGGTGCGACATCGATATCCCCAAAGACCACGCTGCCCCGATGAGGCGATTTCCCCCAGCAAGGGCCCCTTCTGTGCACGCCATCCCCCTGCCAGGGCCTCTTCGGTGAACGCTATCCCCATGGTGGGGAATAGCGTGTAATGAGCAAGCCGGCGGCGCCACATCGCACGTTATCTTCACACCGCCAAGCGTACGCCAAGTCGTCTGGTCGGCCACGAATCTCGGAGTGCAGACGACCCAGCTTCCCAACCTGCGCGACGCTGGAGCGTCGATACATCGAATTCCTTTGCCGAAATCATTGGATCCTTGGCCGACCAAGCGACGTGGTGTATACACAGAAAACCTCCGACGCAGAAGCAAGGCTCAGGCCGCGACATTTCGGCATGAACCAAACGGGTTCTGAAGGGGCCCACGGGCCCCAGCTTGGTCAAATAACGAATCAAGATGGGAAAAAGGCTCCCAGGGGAAGTCCTCAAAATCCAGGACCCGTTTCCTTCATCTCATGGTAATCAATGGGAAATCCGATCACCATCGAATCTGGAAATCGGATCGACAAAGAACACTGGCATGGAATCTAAATCGAATCGGATCGGCTGCGTCAGGATTCACAACGAAACCATGCAAACATCGGACCGCATCGAATCGTGGGAATATCGGAATCGAGTATGGATTGGCTGGCCGGACCGGCATCGCATCGCAGGCATGTCAAGTCAGAACAGTGCCTTGGACAGCACATCGGTTGCGGTGCGCGGCTGCTGCACGCACTGCCGCTGGCAGAAGGCAGTCGCCCGGCTCGCAGCGGCGCGGTCGTAAGCAACCTGGAAAAGAACCATGACAATATATAAACTGATATGTTCTCCGACACAGAGGACGTGGAGGAAGAGGAGGACGAGGGGCGAGGAGGGGGGAGGGGAGGAAGAGTGATCCTGGAACTTTGTGTCAATGATGTACGTACTTGCATGCAACCATCCGCCATGCTTCGCCATGAAGAGCGGCTTGTCCGTGGATTTGCTCAATCGTCTGCGAATGCGCTTGCATGACTCTGGCCCGCTGCAGTCTCGGGCGGCCTCGCCCTGGCCGGCCATGGTCGACCAGAGCGGAGCTTCCTTTTCTGGAATACGTATGAACGTGGCACAGTTGTGTCAGATGATGATGCCAATTTGCCACAATACACGAGCTGGTTTGAAAGAGCACGTAAGCTTATCTTGTGCTGGCGCGACAGATTGCGCACCGCCTCGTTGCTGACCCGAGAGATCACATACTCTGGGACGCCGACTATCTTGCGCTAGCGCTGTGCGTGGAAAGCGTCGATGTTGTCACTGTTTGCCTGGCGCAAGCATTGTGCCTCCGAGCTGTATATCAATTTTCATCACCGCGCATGCGTTGAATAGATCCAACTTCCTCTGCCTTGTAATGTTGGCGCGCTTCCATACAATCCACAGAAAATCGAATGCCCCGCGCGCTTCCCCGACTCTTCCGGCGATCGAGGCTCCAGTGCTTCCTTCTGCCCGTAGGAGGCGTCCAAGGTACACCGCCGAACTCACGACCTTTACGGGCGCGCCCTGCGGCATGGTGATATCATTGGCGTGCCGGATCTGAAGGCGCACCGTTTTCCCCCAATTGGGCTCCAAGCCATACATGTGCGCTCGCATGATCAGCCGGTCATAATCGAATTGTAAACGCTGGATGTCGTTGGAGACCACGCGGCGTCGGCGCACTGCGTTCCCGCGGGGGGGTTCACCAAACTTGTCAATTACATTTTTTCTACGTCGTTCACCAAGACGGTCAGCATTAGGATAAACAGACACGGGCTAAGAAGGCATCCTTGTGCTATTCCTGATCCTTGGCCGTGAACCCTGCGTTCGCCATCTCTGCCTTTGACTTCAAAAGTTCTCCCGTCATAAATGGCGCTGAGCATGTCAATGTAGGGCTCTGGGATTTCAAAGCAAACCAACGATATTAGTAGAGCAGAGTGGTCCACCTTGCCGAACGCTTTCGACCAGCCCAGGAGTACTGCAGACGCCTTGCCGTGCTTGGAGGCCCACGTGTTCTCAATGAAACTGTGCAAGATAAAGACTGCGTCCCCGGTGCCGCGCTTGCTCCAGAATCCAAATCGGCTGGGTCAGAGTCAGTCCTCCACGCCGCCGTCTGCGAGCCTGTTGGGAAGAAGAGACGCCAACACCTTGTATCTGACAGAGAGGGCAGAGGAAAGGGAAGGACGAGGGGGCAAGAAAGACAAAGGGATGAACATCAAGGATCGAAAGGGCATGGGGGGCGCAGCAAGAAGCGGACCAATCCGCGCCTGAGCCCAAGACGCTGTGAGCTAGATTCGTTCTTTCCCCGCGTGCTCAATTGACCAGCATTGACGTGCATCGCCCACCCCCATCCCGACCGGCTCCCTTCTCCCCCTTTGCCGGCAGCTCCAGATTACGCGTCCGCCCCCGTGCCTTGCACTCCTGGCCGCCCCCTTACCCCCCGCAGGCCTTTTCGCTCATCTCCCATTGCTCCCGCGCAACCTTCAACAACCTGGGTGGGCGGATAGATTTCAGTCATCTACGGAAACAGAAACCGATCCACCCACCACACCGGCCCCAAAGCCCAGGCGTGCGCGTAGGGCGCCCCGGGGGCAAGAAAAGAACGCAGTCCCCGTCCACCCCCCGCTGCTCTTCCCCTTTCTGTTTCAGAAGCAGCAGCATCAGCAGGAGGGGGAAGGGGCAGGCGTCGTCATCCTGCCCGCTACTCATCCTGTTTCGCGGTTTCGTCGTCCTCCCCCTCCTATCCCTGTTCCTCCTCGCCCTGCCCCACCCCACAGCCCCTCCCTCCCGCCCCGTCATCCCAATCTGCCCCCGCTCCTCCTCCCCCGTCCGCTCCGGAAGCAAGCGCAGGAGCAGGAGCAGGACGGGGACTCGGGGGCGCGCGGCCTCGGACGGATCAACAGGGGGGAAGACGGAGGTGGAGATGGCGATGGAGGAACGGGGAGGGAGGAGGGAGCCGAGGAGAAGGGAGCCGAGGAAGAGGAGGAGGACGAGGAGGAGAAGGAGGACGAAAAGAATCTGCACCTGCGACTGTCCCTGGCTCCCAGACGCACCATCCTCGACCTGGTGCGCGCGAAATGTACCTGGGACAATCCTGGGACGCCCCAGTGTCTCGCCCCAAGATGCACCATCCTCGAGCAGGCACGCTCGGAGTGCTCTTGAAACGGCCCTGCGACTCACCAGCGTCTGACCACGGGAGGCCAACTCCTCGAGCTGGCGCGTACGAAGTGCACCCTTGACATTTCTGGGGCACACCAACGTCTAACCCCGACCGCGCCGTCTTCCAGCCAGAACGCACGGAATGCATGTGGGACAATCCGGAGACTCACCATCGTTTGGCCCTGAACTGTTTGCCTTCAGGGAACGCCGCCCCTGAGCCGATAGCGAGGAATGCGCCTGGGGCAGTCACGGGGCGCCCCAGTGTCTGAAACCAGAAGGCACATCTTCGCGCGGGCACTCGCAGAACGCGGACCAGAGGAGCAACGCCCAATTCCAACGACACCCCTGGGGACCCGACAGGAGGTAACATCCATCCTCGAGCAGGCGCGCATACGGACTGAGGATGCGAGGGTCAGGCCAGATCCCGGCGACGCTGCCTGAAGACCCGACAGAATGCACTGTCCTCGAGCAAGCACGCTCGGAATGCGGATCAGAAGACCGGGGCCGGATCCCAATGACCGTCCCTGAAGATCCCACAGGAGGGGCTTTGTTGTCCGAACCACATGTAAAATAAACCCTGAGTGGGCAGCCATGCAAAAAGTACCAGGGAATGATGAATATGAGTGCGATGATGCAGTTGTGAGACACACCTGTTGGCTGCCTGGTGGCTTTCCCGCGAGACGTCGCGCCGCGAACGTAAAGATGTTGCGCAAGACCCAATGTGGAAATGTTCGGGCGACGGTAGGGGGCATCGCCTGTTCCACAGGTGACCCTGCATTCAAACTTTTTGCCCCAGCCACCTACCAGCGCTTTTCGCGCCCACTCCCCGCGTGTCTAAGCGGCCCTCTGTCACAGCGCGAAAGCAGAATGGGATTAACTCGAAGCTCGGACCAGCGCCGCGCCCACATACCCGGGCCGTATCAGGGACATTTCCCAAATGTGTCAAAACGAACAGACGTTGACACAGCTGGCAACCATCAAGACGCCCAGGTGGCGAGGAGCTT